ACGGTTCCACGCTCGGGGCCAGGCCCTGCCCTTCGTCCGCCCCGCCCACCCTCACCTGCTGTTCCTAGCGTAGTGAAGCTCTGGTGACCAACCGCCAGGTCCCCGTGAGGGAAGGGTGGGCCAGGGGAGGCAGGGGCAGAAAGGCAAGTGAGTGCAGAAGGGGAAACTGAGGCCAGGCTTCTTTCCCCCTTCCCGCAGGGAGAGACAACTAAGTCCCTGGCCCTGGCCCCGAAAGACCAACGAAAGGTGATTGGGGGCCTTTCCTACGATTCCCTGGTACCCTAGCTTCTCTCAGAAGGGTCTAAACTCAAATCGGAGGAATGGTCTCTGCCCGCGGGGAGGCAGAGCCCAAAGAGGCCTGTATGGGTGAGTGTTGGGCATCTCTACCCCTTTCCTGGGCCCGGGGGAGGTCTACAGAAGCCCTCCTCATTCCTGCATACTCTCCAAGGACTTACTTGTGACTGAAGAGCTGAGTGGGAGGTGGGAATTAAGAGGGAGAAGGGGAAGCAGCAGAGAGGGAATCTGCCCGGGTCCCTGTGGGTCTCATAAACCCCGAGTCTGATGACAAGACCTTTTTTCCCAAGAGCTTGGATGCGTCCTACATTGCTGAACTCTGTCCTCTGAATAAATGCCCCTGGAAACAGGTCATTTCCTATCTGACCTTTCTGGAGAAGGTGTAGAGTGCAGTAGGGAGTCACGGGAAAGGCCCCAGTTATGCATCTCTGGTTTCCTGGGATCGGGCAGGAATAAGCAGTCTGTACTAGTAGCGTGGCCAGAGCTGAGTGGTTTTCTGCAGGCGTATGGAAGGGTGGACATGAAGTGATGCCTGGCCCAGCACTCTGGGGACCCACTAATTCTGGTCTCAAATTTTCTCAGCCTAGAGAGGAACCAGTGGGCAGCACAGATAGGACCAGAGGCGTTGCCCACTAGCGTTTTGTTATGTCAGGTACACCTTAGACCCAGTCAGATCCTGCTCACCCGTCAGTGGTCTGTCCAGTTCTCCCTTTCCCTCGTATCATTTGTATCAGCAACCAAACATACTGTGCTTCAAAAAACAAACAGCTCTCGACACCACTTCTCTCTGCTCCATTTAGCAGCAAACGACTTATCCTCTGCTTTCAACACCTCTCCTTTCTGGCTCTCTGAAACCCCAATAAAGCTTCTAACTGCCCCAAACTTCCACCTGCCAGTCTCAGAGGCAGGTCAGACCCTGCTGGCCCCTTTCCTCGAGGATACAATTCCAGATGTCACCCTCTTGCATGCCAGGCAAATACTTTACCACCGAGCTCCGTCCCCATCCATCATGTGCTCTTTCTTGGCTTCCCTTTTCTCATGCCTCTTCCTGCCAGACCTATGAGCCTTAGGGGCCCAGGTCTGGTCCTTGGGACTCTTCTCCCTCTGTAACGGTTCCCTTATTCTGTTTTTTGGGGGGTGTTCCGGGGATCAAACTCAGGTCCTTGCACTTGCAAGGCAGGCAGCCCTGGTCCCCTCCCTTATTCTAGATGCCGACAGCACTCAAATGTGTTTAACCCAGAACTTTCTCTTGCATTATGTTAGCCTGCATGCCCTGGAAAATAGTCCAAGGTTAAGAGTACATCAGAGAGAGAGAGAGAGAGAGAGAGAGGAGACAGAGACAGACAGACAGACACTAACTGGGGAAACCAGTTAGGAAAAAAATGGAAGTGAAACAGGCAAGGAGGGCATGAAAATGCAGGTATCCCGTCCCGTGCTGAACACAGCTTCCAGAGGGTACTTGAATTTCCAGCAAATGTGCATTAAGCTGCATTAGGACTTAAAAGTTGGCCCTGTACCTGGTAGAGAGAGGATGAGTAACTTCTCTGCTGGCTGCTTGATCTCATTTGTGTCACCTGACCCCTCTGGCAGCACGTGCAGAAGCCAGCATACCCATGGGGCCCGAGGTGAAGGCACATCAACTCCTCTGCTGAAGGAACAGGAGGCCGTGCCACAGCTGATTCTCACCCAGGAGAGGCTGACACCACAGGGATAAGAGACTAGAGCTATATGATCACAGCACAGGGGAACACAGTGCTGCTTGGCTACTCTGGTTGAGAGCCAAGGGCTGGGGACAGGCGGTGCTGAGCAGATCCAGGGTCTAGGTTGCCCCAAACTTAACTAAATTAATCACCTTCTCTGTCTTACTGTTGCAAAGAGCGATTTCCAGCTGCTATTCCTGGGATAACCCTGGTTTCCAACTTGAGATGCTGCTCCTTTCAGAAGCCAGAATCCCAGACAGGAGAACACAGATGAGCAGAAAAAAGCAAGAGAGTCAGGCATGGTGGTGCATGGCTGTAATCCCAGCACTCTGGAGATTGAGGCAGGAGGACTGCCCCAAATTTGATGCTAGCCTGTACTACACAGTGAGTTCAGGGCTAGCCTGAACTATATAGTGAGGTCCTATCTTTTTTTTTTTTTTTTTTTTGGTTTTTTGAGACAGGGTCTCACTATGTAGTTGAGACTGCCCTGGAACTCACTATGTAGCCCAGGCTGGTCTCGAACTCACAGCGATCCTCCTGCCTCAGCCTCCCGAGTGCTGGGATTACAGGTATGCTGGCGCAAGATCCTATCTTAAAAAAAAAAAAAAAAGGAAGAGGAGGACAAAAACAAAAACCCAGAACAAACAAAGCACACTGAAAACACCACTTCAGTCACTTCCCCAGCATTTTATTTTGGTCTCAAAACTAAGGAAGCTGTCCCCAGGATCCTCTTCGGACAAGCCTGCCACCACTGTGAAAGGCCATGTGCCTGCCAGGAAGTGAGTAGCACGGTGAGTGGACCCTCAGAGAAAAATCTCCCTGAGCTTTCCCTGTGGGGACTAAGCACAGAGCAAGCCTCATTCCAGAAGCAGCAACAGCACAGGGCCATTGAGGCATCCGCAGCTTCTCAGTGGGAAGGCAATGGCCAGGCCTCAAGGAGCAGGCACAGGGAACCCCAACCGTACCCCTTGTCTTCCTTTTGGGGGAGCTAGGTGAATGTTGTAGAGTTGGGGCAGAAGGTAAGTAGCAAGCATAACTGCTCCTGCCTCCATCACCTTCAGTCCCATGGAGCCTCAGCTGAGTCGGAGGCCACAGAATGCTTTCACTGGGCACCTCCACTTCTACTGTATTCTGCCTGAGGGCAGGGCCCCTGTGGGCAGTGTCCTCGGGACTGTCCTATAACAGGTCTGGTTCAGATGCACTTTAATCTGTGCCTCACCCCTCTCCAGCCAGGCTGGCCTTCCTTTAGTCACAGGAGCCGTCCTTCCAGCCATCACGCCAGCGTTCATCCACCTGTGAGCAGTCGAAGTCCGGCTTTCCCAGCTTGCGGTTCACCTCGTTGTGCAGATGGCATAGCCACTGGGTGAAGGACACACGAGTTCGAGTGTCTGGCTGGTTCCTGCCTATCCTGTGTGTGGGGAGCACAAAGATGATAGAAGAAGGCAGTGCCCATGCTGTCCCTGCCAGCTCCTGGGGAAGGAGTGGGGCGTGCTCTCATGGCCTAAGGTACACAAAATTCCAAGACTAGAGTTGACCCCATAGTTTTCTAGGTGTGGACTCCCAGGGCTGCTCCATACATCCCTTTAGGGATCTTGGCAAACCCTGACAAGTGCCCAGGGCAAGGCAATAAAATAAAGCACAGACCAGGTAACTTTATAACCTTGTAAAAATCAGGAAGCCTGAGCTCAGTGTCTGGCTTCAGGCAAAGTGCAGAGGGGTGGGGCCATGCACAGCCACTTAGCTGCAAACAGCACCTGAAGCCTGTAAGACACCTCATTCAAGTTGCTCAGGCCTTAAACTACATTGGCAGCTCCACATCCAACCCCAAACCATTTAGGGGGGAACAGGCTTGATCATTGGATGCCTTGATGGGGAAGAGGTGGTTCTGGGGAGCAAAGTAGCGTTCCCAAGGTCTTAAAACCAGTAATCCAGCTCCATAAATCAGGCAAAGCGGAGTCCTAGCTAACCTGTCCAAGGTCTCCATAAGTGCAAAGCAAGGAACCCGTCAGAGAAGCCTTCCTGAAGTATGGGTGCTGCCAAAAACCAGCAGCACCCCGGGCAGATCCAGGCAGCTCAGCCTCTGGGGGTAAAGGAGGAAGCTCATGTGACCCATCCTCTCCCAGGTGGTGGTCCCTGTTCCTAGGCAATCCTCTGCCACATGTCTAGGCTTTCTGTGCCATCAAGGGGCCACAGCCCTTCGGGTAAGGTTCTGTTGCCTGCAGAGCGTAGTCACAGCTTACCTCTCCCTTATGTCTTCAGCACACTCCTCACACGGGTAAAACTTGGAAAATAAATGTATGAACTGGGCCATGTCTTGCTGCTGTTCTGGGGTGGGCTGGTCCGGGTAGTAGGCAGCCAGGGTGTGGAGCACAGCCCAGCTGTGGCGACCCAGTTCCTCGCGATCCTGTGGACAATCCTCCCTAAACTTCCTGTCCCGCTGCAGAAGTAGGCCGACTAAGGGTCAGTTCATTCTCCCCCAGCCAGAGACCCAAATATCCCCCTTCGATGTAGCTCAGGGTACAGCGCTTGCTTAGCATGCGCGAGGCCACCGTTTCAAAAAAATCAAAGTACCCTTTTTTTCAGTCCCAGCCTGAAGCCCACTGACTACGGACAGAAGTCCTCAAACGATTGGACCCGCGAGTGGCTGAAAGCTCAAAGCTCAAAGGCCTACGTATGGGGTGGGGTTGGGGGAGCAGAGTTTAGGAATAGCCAACCCCAGGGGCGTGAGCCCACGGGATGTATGCCCAGGGTTCACAATAACAAGGCGGGGGGTTGAGAGATCGAGCGGGGAACCTGCACCTTCTGCTGCGTCCTCATCCACGTCTTGAAGTCTATGCAGGCCCGGCAGGGCCGACTACGAGAGGCGTCTCGGGTGCCCGAGGACTCTGAGGCCGGTGCCTGGCTGGGAGTCGAGTTCAGAACGGCGGCGTCCTTGCGCCCCGCCCCGCGGCCCCGCGCGTCTGTGACCAGGTCGTCAGTCCCCTCATACCGCGTGCCACCCGGCAGGAA